ATGTCAACAGTTATAACTAATTAAAACAATCAAACAGTATACTAGCAGCAATAAAATCATCTTGTGGTCAATGTTCGCCAATTCATAGTCCGTAATCCGTCTAGCATCGTCATTATCCTTTCCTACTCTGGTTGTCATTGGTTGTCTTTGTCCATCTGCCAGCTTACCCGAAGGCCTGGTCCCACATCCAGGTTTTTAGCTTCCTTCTGGGATGTTGATGACCTAATCTCCCCCGGGAGTGCATTCCACAGGCAAGGGGCCACCACCGAGAAGGCCCTGTCCCTTGTCCCCACCAGTCTCGCTTGTGATAAAGGTGGGGCCGAGAGCAGGGCCTCCCCAGCAGATCTTAAACTCCGGGGTGGGTTTTGTAGGTCAAAACTGTCATGCGTTAGCATGAGTCGCGTGCAGATTGACTCTAGCCCAGTTAACTGTGTGTGTGATGAATTGGCTCATAAAAGAAAAACACACGAGACTTCGGCTTAAAGTAGAAAAGAAAATATTGTAGTATTGGCAGCATACAAAAACAAAATAGCAGGATTGCTGTTTCCACAAAAGTAACATGAAACAATATCTTCTGAGAGATATCACTACTCAGCTGAGATAAGCAGGAATCCTTGTCCTCTTCTCATGGCTGTGTCTTCGCAGGACATCTGCAGCATAGTCCCCGGCTTACACAAAGCAGAACGGCACAGAGGCATAGATGCACAATAGCATAAACGCACAATGGCAAAGAACTAAACACTAGGCCTGTGCGGTTTCGTTCGTTAATTTCGTTATTCGTAAAACATTCGTTATTTTTAGCATTTACGAAGCGATATCAAAACATTTTTTCAAACCCGGAAGGGTTTTAAAATAACGAAGCGGCATCCCCCATCCTTTTAACGAGCTTCCGCCCGTTTCGGAAATTGGATGGAGGATGCTGGTGCCTGGGAGCCAATCCGGCGCTCCCAAGCAGTGCACCGTGGCTGTTTGTTTTTGATTGGCCGGCGAGCCCTTTCAAAGCGGCTCCGCGCGGCCGTAGCTCATTGCTGCAGAGGGCGAGGGAGAGAGAAGAGGTTGGCTTGGCAATGGCTAGCAACTGGATTGGATTCATTCCTTGCTGCTGTGAGTGCTGCTTATATTCCTTGCTTGGATTCATTACTTCCTTCGGTTTTTGTGAATTTGTTTCTTAATTTTTTGGTTAATTTTCCATTTTTAAATATTTTTTAATATTATTTTTAATATTATTTTTTAATATTATTTTAATATTATTCTTAAAAAATATTCTAAAAAAGAAAAGACTCTTCTGTTGGTGTGTGCTCTCATTTGCTGTCTCCTGCCTGTGTTTGGTCCACATTTGGGCCATTTTTTGGTTAATTTTCCATTTTAAATATTTTTAATATTATTTTAATATTATTCTTAAAAAATACAAAAAATATTCTAAAAATTCGTTAATATTTACGAAATTTCGTAAATACCAAAACTTTTTTTGGGAAAGTTTTGTAATTATTTTAAATATCGAAACAAAAAAACACCCCAATTACAAATCGATTTTAGAACCAAATTTTTTCTTGATCAACCAGGCCTACTAAACACACAGTAGCTCTCTTTATACACATGAAAATAATAGGCCTGTGCGATTTGGTTCGTTAATTCGTTAATTCGTTAATGATTCGTTAATTTTACCATTTCCGAAGCGATATTGAAACAAATCTCCAAACCCGGAAGGGTTTATAAATATCGAACCAGCAGCCCCCATAGTATTTAACGAGCCTCCGCTCGTTTCGTTAATGGGGTGGAGGCTGCTGGAGTGCTGGTGCATGGGAGCCAATCCGGCGCTCCCAAGCAGTGCACCATGGGTCCGTGGCTGTCCCTTTTTGATTGGCCGGCGAGCCCTTTCAAAGCGGCTCCGCGCGGCCCGTAGCTTGGTGCAGAGGCGAGGGAGTTTGCATTGGGTTGGCTTGGCAATGGCTGCCTGCTAGCAACGAACTGGGATTGGATTCATTCCTTGCTGCTGTGAGTGCTGCTTGCTTCATTTGCTGTCTCTTGCCTGTGTTTGGTCCACATTTGGGCCATTTTTTGGTTAATTGTCCATTTTAAAATATTTTTAATATTATTTTTTAATATTATTTTTAATATTATTCTTAAAAAATATTCTAAAAAAGAAAAGACTCTTCTGTTGGTGTGTGATCTCATTTGCTGTCTCCTGCCTGTGTTTGGTCCACATTTGGGCCATTTTTTGGTTAATTTTCCATTTTAAAATATTTTTAATTTTTTTTTAATATTATTTTTTAATTTTATTTTAATATTATTTTTAAAAAATATTCTAAAAAAGAAAAGACTCTTCTGTTGGTGTGTGCTCTCATTTGCTGTATCGTGCCTGTGTTTGGTCCACATTTGGGCCATTTTTTGGTTAATTTTCCATTTTAAAATATTTTTTAATATTATTTTAATATTATTCTTAAAAAATACAAAAAATATTCTAAAAATTCGTTAATATTTACAAAATTTTGTAAATACCAAAACTTTTTTTTGGAAAGTTTTGTAATTATTTTAAATATCGAAACAAAAAAACACCCCAATTACAAATCGATTTTAGAAACAAATTTTTTCTTGATCAAACAGGCCTAGAAAATAACACTCTCAATTAACTCTTCAATTAACTGAAACAGCTGTAGCACAAACAGTCTTGAACCTTATCGCAACTTAAAGTTATAGCACAAACATTGATCCTTACAACAACTTAGATAAAGTACGTTGCAACCTCTTAGTAGCAACAAAAACCAGCACTTTGAATTGTGTCGGAACTGAATCGGCAGCCAGTGGAGCTGACATAGCAGGGGGGTGGTATGCTCCCTGTATGACGCTCCGGTGAGCAATCTAGCCGCTGCCCATTGGACTAACTGAAGTTTCCGAACAGTCTTCAAAGGCAACCCCACGTATGAAGCTATTGGACTGGGGGATAGGGAAACGAGGGCTGTTGGGCTGAGGGGTAGGGGATGGATAAGAGCCCATCCTGGGTGGAGGGGGGAGGCTCTTCCTTTCCCCTCCCCTCCTTTATCTGAACCCCCCTCCCTCCCTCCCTCCCTCCCTCCCTCCAAGAGGAACTCTCTCCGCAAAAGCCTCCTTTGTGCTGGGAGAAAACCCGTGTTCATTCACTAAAGGGACTGAGACATGAAAAGGGGTTGTTGGGGGTTGAATCAACTCTGTGAGGTAAACAAAGCTGAGAGAGGCAGGAACTCCAAAGTTTACCAAAGGTTTTCTATTACTGCTGTTGTTGTTGTTTCTATTGTTGTTGTTGTTGTTATTTCAAAGACTGAATTTATTTATTTATTTTATTTATTTACTGCACTTGTAGACCGCCGTTCTCAGCCCTGGGGCGACTCACGGCGGTGTACAACATATAAAAACAAATTACAATATAGGCAATATCACAAACAACAATAACAACATCACTATCAATAATACAATTACACTAAATCATTCGCGACGTCTCATCATAGAATCACAATCCAATCTCGTTATCCATGTTCCGTTCCAATCGTCATTGCCAATTGTTGTAGCACTTAGTCAAACGCCTTCTCAAACAACCACGTCTATAGTCTCTTGCGGAATGTCATAAGGGAGGGCGCCTGTCTGATGTCTACAGGGAGGGTGTTCCACAGCCGGGGGGCCACCACCGAGAAGGCCCTATCCCTCGTCCCCGCCAGGCGTGCCTGTGAGGCAGGCGGGATCGAGAGAAGGGCCTCCCCGGAAGATCTCAAAGTCCTTGTGGGCTCATAGGCCAAGATGCAGTCAGACAGGTATTTTGGGCCGGAACCGTTTAGGGCTTTGTAAGCCAACACCAGCACCTTGAATTGGGCTCGGTAGCAGATCGGCAGCCAGTGGAGCTGGAACAACAAGGGCGTTGTATGCTCCCTGCGTCCTGCTCCCGTTAGTATGAATGAGTCTCCTTCGGAGTGAGAAGACAGGCTATACATGTCATAAATAAATGAATGTGCATCTGTTGGGGTGGTTTGAGTGTGCTTTTCCTTCCTGGCAGAAGGGGGCTGGACTGGATGGCCTCTGGGGTCTTTCAATGAAATAGTATTGTTAAATTTATGTTGGTTAAAATTCCCCAAAATCAGTGAATGAAATTAACGTTCTGAAACTTTGGGTGGGCTAACAGTGGTCTACCATTGTAGCAAGTTTCATCGCGACAGCACAAAAAAACGGGGGAGAAAGGAGCCCCAGAAGCTCCTCCCCCTTGCGCAATTACATAACGAGAACATGACTTAGCCAGAACGCAGCCCGGCTTGACCCCACGTGTGGCACCCGTTCTGCAAGTCACGTGGCCTTCCTCAGAACATCCAACTTGGCAAACAATATTGACGTATGGATGTCTAATTAGAAACAATCGATATTCAAAGACCTCAACTTGGACTTCCGGTTTAGGAATGGTGGCAGACTAAATGATGAAACGCTCTGTCCGTAGTCGTTGGCAAGATTAGTGCCTCCAACGAACTCAAAATGAGGGCAGGAGTTCACCTGGCTACACATCAATAAGCCCAGGAGAAGAGCGGACCTTTGCAAACTTGGCAACAGTGGTGTAGATGGGGGAGGCCATGAGTTTTGGGGGGTCTCCTGGGGGATTGCAGCTCCCTAGATCAGTGGTTCTCAACCTGTGGGTCCCTCCAGGTGTTTTGGCCTACAACTCCTAGAAATCCCAGCCAGTTGACCAGCTGTTAAGATTTCTGGGAGTGGAAGGCCAAAACATCTAGAGATCAACAGGTTGAGAACTACTGCCCTAGATGGATGGCCATTGGGGGGAAGCAAGGAGGAGAGACGTGCATGTGCATCATCGTTACAGGTGTTTTCATCTCTACTGCCAACCCCCGACCCACTTTCCCAACCTGATCCCCTTCCCTCAAAATCTCCTTTTGGAATCAAAGACTATTTAGAGGAGGAGGAGGAGGAGGAAAGGAGGCAACGAAGGAGTGACTCTCTACCAGCAAGTGTTTGATTATAACGATATAATACCCTGTTAACCTATTGTATACGAACAGGGATCTCTAACTTATATAGACAAAGAGATAACCCAGAAAACAGAACAGAAGGAAGGAGGGAAGGAAGGAAGGAAGGAAGGAAGGAAGGAAGGAAGGAAGGAAGGAAGGAAGGAAGGAAGGAAGGAAGGAAGGAAGAGGAGGAGAAACAAGAATGTATGGACCAGCTTGATTTTTGAAATAGAAGATAAAAGTTCCGTTCTTCTTGGGACAAAAGAGGTCCAGTGTCACTGCCACCATCATCAAAAAACAAAATATATAATCCAAAAATATAGCTAGGAACCAAGCCAGACCACACAAACGGCTGCACATAACAGATAGAGAGCAAGTTGGCAGCCTTCTTTTTCTGCCCATCGCCCCAATGTTTTGTCTGCCTGGGACCCTTCGAAACATACAGGCAGGTCTCCTCTAGATGTGTGTGAGCTCTTTGCTGTCTAATGCATTTTCCCTTGTGTGGCTCCTTTGATGGCTACGCAGAATCGCACTCCGACTGAAGCTCTTTCCACATTCCATGCATTTATGTGGCTTCTCCCCTGTGTGGACCCTTTGATGGATACGCAGAGCTCCACTCTCACTAAAGCTCTTTCCACATTCCATGCATTTATGTGGTTTCTCCTCTGTGTGGATCTTTTGATGGATACGCAGATTTGAACTCCGACTGAAGCTCTTTCCACATTCCATGCATTTATGTGGTTTCTCCTCTGTGTGGATCCTTTGATGGGAACGCAGATTTGAACTGTGACTGAAGCTTTTTCCACATTCCATGCATTTATGTGGCTTCTCCCCTGTGTGGGTCCTTTGATGGGTACACAGAGCTCCACTCTGACTGAAGCTATTTCCACATTCCATGCATTTATGTGGCTTCTCCCCTGTGTGGGTCCTTTGATGGGTACGCAGAGCTCCACTCTCACTGAAGCTATTTCCACATTCCACGCATTTGTACGGCTTCTCCCCTGTGTGGGTCCTTTGATGGGAACGCAGTTTTCCACTCTGACTGAAGGTCTTTCCACATTCCATGCATTTATGTGGCTTCTCCCCTGTGTGGATCCTTTGATGGGTACGCAGATTTGCACTCTGACTGAAGCTATTTCCACATTCCATGCATTTATATGGCCTCTCCCCTGTGTGGATCTTTTGATGGATACGCAGATTTGAACTCTGACTGAAGCTTTTTCCACATTCCATGCATTTGTATGGCTTCTCTCCTGTGTGGGTCCTTTGATGGATACGCAGATGTGAACTCCAACTGAAGCTCTTTGCACATTCCATGCATTTATGTGGTTTCTCCCCTGTGTGGATCCTTTGATGGGAACGCAGATATGAACTCCGACTGAAGCTCTTTGCACATTCCATGCATTTATGTGGTTTCTCCCCTGTGTGGGTCCTTTGATGGATACGCAGATCTCCACTCTGACTGAAGCTCTTTGCACATTCCATGCATTTATGTGGTTTCTCCCCTGTGTGGGTCCTTTGATGGGTATGCAGATGTGAACTCTGACTGAAGGCCTTTGCACATTCCATGCATTTATATGGCCTCTCCCCTGTGTGGGTCCTTTGATGGGAACGCAGTTCTCCACTCTGACTGAAGCTCTTTCCACATTCCACACATTTGTACGGCTTCTCCCCTGTGTGGGTCCTTTGATGAGTACGCAGATGTACTGCGTTTTTGAAGCTCTTTCCACATTCCATGCATTTATGTGGCTTCTCCCCTGTGTGGGTCGTTTGATGGGTACGCAGATCTCCACTCTGATGGAGGCTATTTCCACATTCCACGCATTTATATGGCTTCTCCCCTGTGTTCTTCAGAAGTTTCATTCAGAGGTTACCTGCCAGAAAAACGAGAGGAAAATCTTATCAGGAGCAGAGCACAGAAGTCTCTCCTTGAACAATAAGAACAATAGCTTGGTGCTGTAGCCAATGCCAGAGAAGAAGGGAGAAAGAGCGGTCCTATTGAGAAGAGCCTCGGCCTGCTGAGAAGGACTTTAACACTTGCCCAACAAAGAGCAAGCCCTGCAAAGAGGGGAGAGTGGCCCAAGATTCCCTGTATGAGATTGTTTGCATTGCAGTGTGTTCAGAGTGTCATCCAATCTTTGTAAAGGAAGACTTCTAACAAAATGGTCAGCACAGGGTGCAAAGCGTTCCTGCCTAGATCCCGCTTCCTCACATCCCAACTCAGAAGCTGAGTAACCACCAGTACAGGCAGACCATCCCAAGTGATCGGTCTTGGGAGAAAAATACTTCATTTCAAAACTCAGGAAAAAATATGTTCCTGATCCTCTCTTTCCCGGCAGCGTGATCCCTGCCCCACGTTTCTAAAGCAAGGCACCTGGAGACACTGAGAGCACATTAGGCTGCAGAGCTCTTGACATATTGCATTCTTACAAAACCTATACCACAAAGGTGTGAAACATCAGGCAGAACAAATGCAAAGAAAAAAAACCAAAGCAAACTTCTACACCAAGACCACAAAAATGGAGATAGGGATGCAGAAGCACAGGGTGGAAGGCACTCAGCCTAGCAGCAGTACACGAGAGAAGGGGGTAGAGGGAGGATGGAAGGACGGATGGATGGACCTCCAGTGCTAAAGATGATGTTGTGCTATGGCTCAAGGGGGAGGAGGGAAGCCATCAAGTTCACCGCATCCACTACAGGCCCCTCTTCGGCCCTCGGAGCCCATTTGCAGGGGTTTCATTGAGGATCACCTGCCAGGTGAGCTGAGGCTGTCACCTGAGTAGTGCCAGGCTTGTTTCCTAAGCAGGACATTGCATAGCTTGTGCCACCAGGGAAATGGCCCCCCAATTCACCAGAGAGTTTATTGATCACACAAGTACCATGGCTTTCTCCTCACAATTACTGCAGATTGCGGGGCCCACTTTGCCTCCTAGTTTTGGGGAGGGCTCTTCAGTCTCCTGGGAGTACGGCCAGCTCTGAGTCCCGCTTATTGCCCTCCAACGTATTGGCCCAACTGAGAGCGTCCAGCAGGTGTCTCAGCAACACCTGGATTATGGCTTTAATTGCCAACAAGGTGATGGGTTGGACCTGCTTACCTGCTTACCTTTCCTGGGATGGCTCAGAACAGGCTTCTAATTGGCTTTAACTGTTTATTTTAAATAGTGTCAATGTTTAATTTTAATGTGTGTGTTTTTCAGCTTTAAATTATATCCTGTGTTGCTTTTAGTGTTAGTGATTTTGGGTCTTTTGAGAGAGAGAAAGCAGGATAGAGATGATAATGATGATATAACTCTGTAAATTGCAAGGCTGGGCCTTTGGCCTTTGCCGACCCTTGCGACCATCCCCTTTGACCCCTGGCACGGCCAGATTGGGCACGGAGGGTCCGCGCTCGTTGCGGTATGCGCGCAAACTACTAGTGCCTACAACAAAACGGACCTTACTTTAAAAATACCCCTCGTACTTTAACACTTACTCAACAAAGAACAAGCCCTGCAAAGGGGAGAGTGGCCCAAGATTCCCTGTATGAGATTGTTTGCACTGCAGTGTGTTCAGAGTCTCATCCAATCTTCGTAAAGGAAGACTTCTAACAAAATGGTCAGCACAGGGTGCAAAGCGTTCCTGCCTAGATCCCGCTTCCTCACATCCCAACTCAGAAGCTGAGTAACCACCAGTACAGGCAGACCATCCCAAGTGATCGGTCTTGGGAGAAAAATACTTCATTTCTTCCAACTCAGGAAAAAATATGTCCCTGCTCCTCTCTTTCCTGGCAGCGTGATCCCTGCCCCACGTTTCTAAAGCAAGGCACCTGGAGACACTGAGAGCACATTAGGCTGCAGAGCTCTTGACATATTGCACTCTTACAAAACCTATACCACAAAGGTGTGAAATATCAGGCAGAACAAATGCAAAGAGAAAAACAAAGCAAACTTCTACACCGAGACCACAAAAAGGGACAGAGATGTAGAAGCACAGGGTGGAAGGCACTCAGCCTAGCAGCAGTACACGAGAGAAGGGGTAGAGAGG